AGAAAAGAGATTGAGGATGGTGTAGAAGGCAGAGGACAAAATGTTAGCGATGTAAAAGTTTGGTGTGATGGAGACAAGCAGAAACCCAAGATAATTGAAGTAGAGAAGTGCACAGAACATTGAGTAGAAACACCAAAATACTTTGGATGYTGATCCATAGTATCCAATCATTGGGTAAGTGATAATCAGATAGGCAGCTACTTGTACAAACAGGTATGGAACCTCAACAGTTACCTGCAAAGTTATACAAAATTTTGAAGTTTAACAGCTTAACTTATGAGAGGACTTCACATTATAGAGTTTCAAAGTTCAAAAGTCTCAAAAATCTGGTAATGTGTTGACATATTAGTGGTAAACATAGACAAGACATGAAGAAAAACAAAACATTTAGTGGATTTAAGTTATGTGGYAAGCTGCTTTCTGTGGTATATTTGGTTAGAAAGAAATACGATACCTCTCTCTATTTTCATAATAACACACAATAATATGATATTGTTCGAATAGGGTCTTAAGCTTGTATGCTTTTTATTTTATCTAAAAGGTCGAATACTAATAGAAATCTTGTCTGAATTTTTTCAATTTCAATTGGATTGGAAACTATGTTCGCATCTCCAACAGAATAAAAGGTATTTTTCAAGGGTGTTTGAGGAATGATAATTATTCAGACTAGAATTTGATCTATTTTAATGCGTGTCTTGGTGTCTAAGACAAATGTTTTACATAATTATTTGTTGGTGTTATTTTGGCTCAATATTGGGCTTCTCAATCTTTTTTTGTCCTTACATTTGTGCTTCACTATTTTTTATTTTTTATTTTTTTTACATTGTCCTTACTTTTGTACTTTTACTTGCAAAGTTTGTCTGTATAAAACTAAAAGCCTGAATGACAATTTATCGAGAAGATTGAACAGGTTAAGATAAGTAATGTACCTGTGCAAGTGAATAAGCCCATGAAGAGTACATCCCAGCAAACCGTTCTCTGTACATCACAGTTCTCTCCATTGATATATAAGGAAGGACCAATGAGCAGTTGTCGATGCCAAGGAAAATTACAGCAGTTTACATTGAACCGAAAATATTGAATAAGTTCTGCTGGTTCTCTCTTCATACACAAACAAAAAGAAGATAAAAAGTTTCACATGCTTGTCAGTCTCCTAATACTTTTAAGAACTGAAATGGAATGGCACCAAAAGCATTGCATAGATGCATAAAATACTCACAGCTCCTTTCCCTTGTTCCAGAATACTATCCCAAAAATCAAAGATGATACAACTGTATGTATGAAACGCATCATGTTATAAGAAGGACTTCGCCAATACGACAAGTTTTGCTTCCAAAGGCARGCCTTGAACTGTCCCATGAAACTTTGCGAAAAGATGTTTGAGAAATGCAAATCTCTCGAACCAGGAGGTGGAATACTCAACTGCTTCACAAGTTCTTTGTTATTCCTGCAAAACAGGATTTGTTGAAAAGCATGTTTTATGTCTTTTTTTTCTAACAGTCCATAGATCAATTTGAAACAATTCTCTTATCTTATTTTCATTGCATGATAAAATAGCTTCTTATCTGAAGAAGAAAATTAGAAGAAAACAAAAATTGAGATCCTAACTTGTGTACTTGGGTGAGACGAAAGATTCTAGAGTTTAACTCACTCATATAGAGCAGAATTCCTATATACTTGAGCAAAATCTATGCCAAGTTCAGCTTCTGATGGTGGAGAGGTAACCTCTAACATCCATGTTGCAGGATTGTAGTTCTCTCTGATCTTTGAAACCCCAGAGATATGCTGTGTGCAATAGAAAATG